CCATGTTGGCCAGGCTGATGTTAAACTCCTGACCTGGGTGATCCACCTCCTCAGCCTCTCAGAGGGCTGGGATTACAGGTGTGAGCTACTGAGCCTGGCACAGATGAATTTTAGAGCAAAAACACTCTCCCAAGTGGAAAACCCCTTTAGAAAATGAACTTTTTTACCTCTTTGTTCACATTCAACCCAATTTTAACCTTCACTTATATACAGGAGAGTAACTTAGGTTTTTAAATGGATTTCCTGTTAGGTAAATCATTCTGTGTATCTGCTTTCGACAAGGCAGCCTACCCAAATCCTGTGTAGAATAAGGTGAGGTATAAATAAAAAGATAAAGGAAAATATATCCATGCATTTTTTTGGGGGGTTTTATTCATCTTTTTGTTTTTTGATACGGAGTTTCGCTCTTGTTACCCAGGCTGGAGTGCAATGGCGCAATCTCAGCTCACCGCAACCTCCGCCTCCTGGGTTCAGGCAATTCTCCTGCCTCAGCCTCCTGAGTAGCTGGGATTACAGGCACGCGCCACCATGCCCAGCTAATTTTTTGTATTTTTAGTAGAGACGGGGTTTCACTGTGTTGACCAGGATGGTCTCGATCTGTCGACCTCGTGATCCACCCGCCTCGGCCTCCCAAAGTGCTGGGATCACAGACTTGAGCCACCGCGCACCGCTTTATTAATCTTTTGATTCCTGAATTTTTATAAATAGAAACAAGGTTGCAAAGTGCCATTTCTTAATCGCTTTCTTAGTTCACACTATAGTCTAAATGTTTCCTCAGTGATATATCACTATGTATCCTTTATTTAGTGGAATTTTTTATTTCGGGATTTTTTTTTTTAATTTTAAGGTACATTTCCAATTGATTTAACGAAGACACGGCTCCAGATTCAAGGCCAGACGAATGATGCAAACTTTAAAGAAATTAGATATCGAGGAATGCTGCACGCATTAGTGAGGATAGGCAGAGAAGAAGGGCTGAAAGCACTCTACTCGGGGTGAGTAGGCCTTCGTGCGTTTCTGTGTCACTGTTCACTGTTGCAGATGGGTCGACTTCAGACCAAGACTTCACAGATCAAAAGTAAAAAGTTTGAGGTGTGTCTGCACAGAGCAAATGGCATGATACATGATTTTCCACTTTTGATTTCAACTCTAAGTTTTAAGTATGTATGTTATGTAGTAAATGTTTTGGTGAAATTGTTTTATTATATTCACGTGCAGACAGACAACAATAAAAAATTATGTTTGCTTAAAAAAACATTCTGTTCAGTTTTTCACTCTTTGAAAATAGCTCTTTTTCTTAGATATTCTGAATTAGGGAGGTTTTTGCCATGATGAAAATTATATATTGATAAGATGCAGTGAACTACGTTCCATCCTTTCAGCATTTAATGAACAGTATTCTGTAGGCACTGGACAGGAAAGTGAGTAACACCTATATGCTCATTATCTTGATTTTATCCAGTATACCACAGTTCCCAAACTGGTGACCCGCAGCCCCACCATGGATCTAGCAATCCCAAAATGTTTTTGTTTTTTAATTGAGTGAATATTTCGAAAATGAGAAATTGCCCATAAAAACTTGGGATTCTATCTTCTCTAGAGAAATTGACATCAGGCCCACATTCGTTCCCTTATGACAGTAGTAGTTGGGGTTAAGCATACTGTCTCTGTGACCTCTGTCACTCACATAGAGTGTGTGTGTGCCGTTCCACCCAGCCTGCATCACTCTCTCATGGCATCTGCTGGGGTTAAGGATACTGTCTCTGGTTTACTAAACCTCTGTCACTCACATAGTGTATGTGTGTGCCATTCCACCCAGCCTGCATCATTCTCTCATGGCATCTGCTGGGGTTAAGGATACAGTCTCTGGTTTACTAAACCTCTGTCACTCACATAGTGTGTGTGTGTGCCGTTCCACCCAGCCTGCATCACTCTCTCATGGCATCTGCTGGGGTTAAGGATACTGTCTCTGGTTTACTAAACCTCTGTCACTCACATAGTGTATGTGTGTGCCGTTCCACCCAGCCTGCATCATTCTCTCATGGCATCTGCTGGGGTTAAGGATACTGTCTCTGGTTTACTAAACCTCTGTCACTCACATAGTGTGTGTGTGTGTGTGTGCCGTTCCACCCAGCCTGCATCACTCTCTCATGGCATCTGCTGGGGTTAAGGATACAGTCTCTGGTTTACTAAACCTCTGTCACTCACATAGTGTATGTGTGTGCCGTTCCACCCAGCCTGCATCACTCTCTCATGGCGTCTGCTGGGGTTAAGGATACTGTCTCTGGTTTACTAAACCTCTGTCACTCACATAGTATGTGTGTGTGCCGTTCCACCCAGCCTGCATCATTCTCTCATGGCATCTGCTGGGGTTAAGGATACTGTCTCTGGTTTACTAAACCTCTGTCACTCACATAGTGTGTGTGTGTGTGTGCCGTTCCACCCAGCCTGCATCACTCTCTCATGGCATCTGCTGGGGTTAAGGATACAGTCTCTGGTTTACTAAACCTCTGTCACTCACATAGTGTATGTGTATGCCGTTCCACCCAGCCTGCATCACTCTCTCATGGCGTCTGCTGGGGTTAAGGATACTGTCTCTGGTTTACTAAACCTCTGTCACTCACATAGTATGTGTGTGTGCCGTTCCACCCAGCCTGCATCATTCTCTCATGGCGTCTGCTGTGTTGGTACCTGTCAGCATTTGAGTTTGCTATGTCTGTGGCAGACAGAAGCCACTGAAAGAGTTTAAGTAGGAGGATGGACCTGATCAGCTGACGTTGTAAACATCGTCTGCCTGCCGTTGAGAGAAAGAATTAAGAGACAGGGAGCACTAGAAGCAGGGCTGTCATGTAGGAAGGCTGGATGAGGATATGAATTGGTTTTGGGGGATGGGGAGAAAGAAGACAGGCTAGAAAACTACCTGGGGTATAGGATTGATAGCACTGTGCTACCTAATATATAAGGTTCCCATACGTGAAGGGGGTAGTAGGGAAGGAGGAGCCAAGGCTAATGTCTCAATTGCTGGTTTTTGCCAGTGTGTAGCTGGAGGTTCCATGCCCTGGTCTAGGAAACAGAAGAGGAGGGAAGATTGTTTGGAGAAGAAGAGAAGTAGTTGTGTGAGACCGTATATGAAGGTATACACAGGACATCTAAACTGAGAATCTAGGCATATTGGAAATGTGTCTTTGGATCTGTGTTGGAAGCATGGATTTGGAGTCATCAGTCTTTATTTTATTATTGATTGATTGATTTTGATACAGGGTCTTGCTTTGTCACCCAGGCTGGAGTGTAGTGGCAGGAAATGGCTTACAGCAGCCTCTCCCTCCCAGGCTCAAGCGATCCTCTCACCGTAGCCCCCTTCGTAGCTGGAACTGTAGGCACAAGCCAGCACACCTAGCTATATATATTATATATATTTTTATAATATTACATATTATATGTATTTGTAATACTACACACACACACACACACACACACACATTTTATTTATTTATTTTTGAGACAGTCTCCCTTTGTTGCCAGGCTGGAGTGCAGTGGCGCGATCTTGACTCACTGCAACCTCTGCCTCCCAGATTCAAGCGATTCTCCTGCCTCAGCCTCCCGAGGAGCTGGGATTACAGGCGCCACATCCAGCCAATTTTTTGTATTTTTAGTAGAGGCAGGGTTTTACCATGTTGGCTAGGTTGGTTTTGAACTCCTGCCCTCAAGTGATCTGCCTGCCTTGGCCTCCCAAAGTGCTGGGATTATAGGCATGGGCTACCGTGCCTGGTGCTACTTTTATATTTCTTACAGAGTTAGGGTTTTGCCGTGTTGCCCAGGCTTGTCCAAACTCCTGAGCTGAAGTGATCGGCCTGCCCTGGCTTTCCGGAGTGCTGGGATTATAGGCTTGAGCCACCGTGCCCAGCCAGTCTCCAGGTCATACTCGAAGCCTTGGGAATAGATGAACTCACACAGGGAATATGTACAGTAAGGAGGGAGGAAGCACAGGATAGAATTCTGGGGAACCCCAGTGGGCACAGGTAGGATGCTGTGGAGAAAAGAAAAGAAGTAGGAGGGGGTAATGCAATTGCAGAACAGGGAGGAGACAGGACAAAGGGTAAAGTGGCACACACCGCAAAGAGCTTATACAAGACCCTACTCGAAAAACCTCATTTAACTTAGCAACAAAGATGTTAGGTGATCACCTTGATGAGGGGAGTTTGAGGGTGAGGGCAACAGAAACCCTAATTGCATTTCGAGAAGGAAGTGGGGAAAAGCAGAAAGAGCTGGGGAGTGTCGATGCCGCACATGGTTGTGGTTTGGAGAGGGTAATGGGCAGGTACGTCGGATGGAGGAAAGAAGTCTTGCTTGTGCTGATTCTGCCTTGAACTTGTTCACTTACATTTTCATTGAGAATAAATATGAGAGGTCAGGCTTTCACTTAGTGAGCTAATAATTTTCACAGATATATCTGGACCCACTTGTGTTTTTGTTGGATTTTGAATTTTGAGAAATCGTTTTAGAGGCTGGGCACAGTGGCTCACGCTTGTAATTCCATCACTTTGAGAGGCCAAGGCCGGGAGATCACCTGAGGTCAGGAGTTCGAGGCCAGCCTGGCCAACGTGATGAAACCCTGTCTCTACTAAAAATACAAAAATTAGCTGGATGTGGTGGTGGGTGCCTATAATCCCAGCTACTTGGGAGGCTGAGGCAAAAGAATCACTTGAACCTGGGAGGTGGAGGTTGCAGTGAGATGAGAGTTCGCCACTGAGCCCTAGCCTGGGTGACAGAACGAAACTCCACCTCAAAATAATAAAAAAAAAAGAAATCATTTTAGAGAACATAGTTTGATTATGGATGGCACTCTGCATGTGGTTGTCTAGCCAATGTTAAGTGGGTTTTAGATCCCTTTGTACATTGGTTTAACAGGATTGCCCCCGCGATGTTGCGCCAGGCGTCCTATGGCACCATCAAGATAGGCACTTACCAGAGCTTGAAGCGGCTGTTCGTTGAACGCCCAGAAGGTGAGTGGAGAATCTGTTTTCCACTGTGGACAGGAGGTGGTTGTCTGTCTTTTCTTTCAAGCGGTTCTGGAGCAGATTTCCTTCAGCTTCTTTGTGACTTTCCTACTGCTACAGAGAACTGTGGGTGTAAAGTCTTAGTTAATTGTGTTGAAAGCAAGTTGGTTATCGGCTGCACTGGGGGAGAAACAATGAAAAAGATCATCTCTGCAAACATTTTAATTAGTTGTCCTCATCTCCAAAATGCCTAGACCAGGGGATGTGTTACCATTCCGTCTAACTTAAAATTTTCTAACATCATACAAATCGTCATCTGTTTTTCTAGAAAACAGTGAAGACACTTCTTTTTTTTTTTTTGGAGACCGAGTTTCGCTCTTGTTACCCAGGCTGGAGTGCAATGCCGCGATCTCGGCTCACCGCAACCTCTGCCTCCTGGGTTCAGGCAATTCTCCTGCCTCAGCCTCCCGAGTAGCTGGGATTACAGGCACGCGCCACCATGCCCAGCTAATTTTTTGTATTTTTAGTAGAGACGGGGTTTCACCATGTTGACCAGGATGGTCTCGATCTGTTGACCTCGTGATCCACCCGCCTCGGCCTCCCAAAGTGCTGGGACTATAGGCATGAGCCACCGCGCCCATCCGACGCTTCTTAGTATTAACGACGCTGAATGCTAATGCTCCGTGGCTGGCTGGTTCTGCGGCTTTGTTTTAATCCACAGAACTGTCTGTCCGCATCTGTTTTCACAGTGGGATGAGTACCAGACACTGTTACATGAGACTGGCGAACAAGATGCTTTGGGAATACTTCAGAGTATTTCAAACTAGGTACATACGATGTGCTTTAAAAACTTGCTGTGCCACATAAGTCTTCATGTTATCTTGTAGGAATTATTGTCCTAACAGACACTGCTCATCTTAATTATGATGGTCTGAATTTATGCATAAATGTGAATTGGGGCCAGGTGCGGTGGCTTCTGCCTGTAATCCCAGTGCTTTGGGAGGCTGAGGCGGCCGGTCACTTGAGCCCAGGAGCTCCAGACCAGCCTGGGCAACATCGTAAAACACCGTCTCTACAAAAAATGCAAAGTATTAGCCACGCGTGAAGGTGCACGCCTTTAGTCCCAGCTACTCGGGAGGCTGAGATCGGAGGATCACCTGAGTCCAGGAGGTCGAGGCTGCAGTGAGCTGTGATTGTGCCATTGCACTCCACCCTAGATAACAGAGTGAGACCCGATTTCAAAAGAAAAAAAATAAAATCACATTTAGATATCAAGAATTTTTCAAAGCAAAATTTGTGTGTTAGTGAAATTTCTAATCCTTTTAAAATTACTTGATTTATGAAGCATACTTTTTTTTGAGACTGCTTGTTGCTCTGTCGCCCAGGCTGGAGTGCAGTGGTGTGGTCTTGGCTCACTGCAGCCTCTACCTCTTGGGTTAAAGTGTTTCTCCAGCCTCCGCCTTGGAGTAGCTGGGATTACAGGTGCACACCACCACACCTGGGTAATTTTTGCATTTTGGTAGAGACAGGGTTTTGCCATGTTGGCCAGGCTGGTCTTGAACTCCTGACCTCAAGCGATCTACTGGCCTCGGCCTCAGCCTCCAATAGTGCTGGGATTACATATGTGAGCTACCATGCCTGGCCTGAAGCATTAACTTTTTAATCTTAAGGTGAACGTGTAATGTGTAAATAAGTTAGACCTGTAGTTGAGTTTCTTACAGGGAGAACTATGTAAAAAATTAGAGTCAAATAACGTGTCCGGTTTACAGATGAAACTTTACCGATAAATGTGATCTGTGGAATTCTCTCTGGAGTCATATCTTCAACCATTGCTAATCCTACTGATGTTTTGAAGGTAAGCTGTGCTATCTCTATCTTATGGGCACATTCCACATTTTCTTAATGAGAGCAACATTCAGGTAATGGAATCTGTAAATGTAAATCTGTGTATATGTGAACATGTTTATAATTTAAGTGCTGTGAAGACTCTTAACTTTTAAATGTCCACAAGGTGGGTTTCCCACTGATACAGATGAGCTCAAAAGTAGAGCTCATTTTGGAGACAAAGATTTTGGTGATTGAGCAGAGAAAAAATATTTAGGCTTGGATTGCATTTCATTTTTGTTTTCATTGAAAATCTTCCTTGTTTTGTAGGTTCATTAAATATAGATGGGCTGCAAGTTTTGCGCAAATCTAGGCTGCTCATTAATGATTGTTTTTGAATGCATCTTCTTTGCTAAATTTTATTTCAGGAGATACAAACGAAAAAAATGAATGACTATAATTAGGTTACATAACACGTTGGGTGACCTTATTGAAAATACTAGGGATATAGCCTCCTGAAATCCTTTTTGGAATAAAGAAAGGAAGCAACTAATTAAATAAACTAAAAATTTGGCATGCCTTACTTCTTGACCTCCCTCAGAGTATTCCTTTCCTACCTTCCCTCTTTTCATTTTCTGCCCCACTGTTTAACTAGTATTCTATGCTTCTGTCTTGTACCAGCTGGTATATGCCGTGGTTAGAATCCAAAAATGAGTAAGACAAGGACCCTGCCCTCAGAGAGCCTTCCATCTAATAGGGGATTCCGACAAGCATTACAGCCATCTGTAGTCTGCTGGGTACACTCCAGTTATACATGCACAGTAGTGAAGGGACCGCACGGGTAAGGAAGAAAATACAAGGCACCTTTGCCATAGGTTTACCAGTGTTGGGGTAAGACAGCTAGAGAAAAATATGCACTCTTACTAATTTCTTAATCATGTCTTAGGCCTTATGGGAAGGCAGTTCCTGTACCTTGGTTTATTTTCCCATGTTAATGTGGCAAAAACATTTCCTTTAGAAGTTGGTGGTAATGTATTTGCTCCCTAAACAAAAATAAGGTTCACATTTTTTAGTAAAAAATCTTTTTTCATTCTTAAAAATGCAAAGAGCTACATCAAACATGATGTTGGAATCTTGGTCGTGTGGATTCCACTAAAGTGTAACAGAGTGTAAGAGACATCATGTGGCTGTCACGTGGCTAGCTGGCCTGCATACTTTCTGGTTCAGCTGGTTGGAGACGGTAGTGGCTTGGAGCAGCTAATTTAAGAACTGTGCTTGCCTATGCTTAGTGCTGCCAAGTACACTGGATAACTCATTAATTATATTAAACCTTTGGAATTTATTATTTTTTCTTTCGCCTACATAGTAACCTGTAGGGAAATGTACTGTTTCCTATCCTTCTAGAAAGACTTTTTTCACAAAATCAATTTCTTTTTTGACACTTAATGAACTGCTGTGTGTAGGACTCTGGACTCTCCTAGATACTTTTTTGGAGATTTCAAAGTTCCTAAGAATAAATTTTTATATGTTTTAGTCATTTTAAAGTAGCATCATAGCAGTATTTATATGACAGTTTTTTTTTCCTGCTAATGGTTATTAAGCAACAGACTGATGGACTGTCAGAGGTATACATTGGTTGGGGGTGGGATTGTGGTAGTTTCCTTCTGATGTTGGTCTTAATAATCTCTAGATTCGGATGCAAGCGCAAAGCAGCAGCTTTCAGGGAGGAATGATAGGCAACTTCATGAACATTTACCAGCAGGAGGGGACAAGAGGGCTGTGGAAGGTAAGCTTGAAGGATGCATCCAACTGACTTCTTTAGTTATTTTTCCTTTTTTGAATTCATTTGTTCTATTTCTGTCAATTTTAATCCAAGTGTCATAATGGAGTAAGGGAAGAAGAGTGGCATCTTCTCCCCATGAAAATATCTTCATTTATTTCCTATCTATAAAATGGGACTATAAGAAATATGTCATGTTTTTTTGTTTGTTTGTTTGTTTGTTTGTTTTTGAGACAGAGTCTCACTGTGTCACCCAGGCTGGAGTACAGTGACATGATCTTGGCTCACTGCAACCTCTGCCTCCTGGATTCAAGTGATTCTCCTGCCTCAGCCTCCTGAGTAGCTGGGATTACAGGTGCGTGCCACTGTTCCCAGCTAATTTTTGTATTTTTAGTAGAGAAAGGATTTCACCATGTTGGTCAGGTTGGTCTCAGACTCCTGACCTCAGATGATCTGCCTGCCTCAGCCTCCCAAAGTGCTAGGATTACAGGTGTGAGCCACTGCGCCCAGCCTATGTCATGATTTTTAAAGTTTGTTTTGAATAATTTATGTATAAGATGTTGTGTGAAGGGTAAGCACTGTTTTTTTGGTTTGGTTGTTTGCTTTTTTTTAATATGGAGAAGGATTTTAGGTTGCAGTTCCATTGGGTATTTAGATCCATACAATTTCATGACTCATAAGTGAAATCGTAGCATGCACGTGATGTAGCATGTTAATCTCCTAGTATTCTAATGGTTTGTCAGTTCATAGAATAGCCCCTAAAGATCATCCAGCGTGATCTCTCAGTTCATACAGGGAAACCGGAGGCTCTGAGAGGTGACTTGTCCTGGGCAAAGTCTGGCCCAAGGCCATGTATTTAATGCCAGCATCAGAATTAGACTTCAGAGTTTTTGAGTTCTTGACCTGTGATCTTTTCCTCTCTGTCACTCTACATTTCTACCACCCCAGAGGAAAACATAAAAATTGATCATAGTTCATGGAGTAGAACCTTTGCACGTTTGCAAGGCTTGTTCTACAGAGGCATATCTGAATCATGTTTGTTGTTAATATTTTTACGCAGGGTGTGTCCCTCACTGCGCAGAGGGCTGCTATTGTTGTTGGTGTGGAGCTGCCAGTCTATGACATCACCAAGAAGCATCTTATTCTCTCGGGCCTGATGGGCGACACTGTGTATACCCACTTCCTGTATGTTTATGGGTTTAAAAAATTAATCCTTTAGGTATGCATGAATTTAGGGTGGAAATTTGGCACACATTTATAGAAATTCTAAAGAAAGTTTATTATCAAAGTATTCTCATATGCACATGTATGTTCATTGCAGCACTGTTTACAATAGCAAAGACCTGGAACCAACTCAGATGCCCATCGATGATAGACTGGACAGGGAAAATGTGGCACATATACTCCGTGGAATACTGTGCAGCCATAAAAAACGATGAGTTTGTGTCCTTTGTAGGGACCTGGTTGAATCTGGAGAACATCATTCTCAGCAAACTGACACAAGAACAAAAAACCAGGAGGATCACTTGAACCTACAAGACCAGCTTGGGCAACAAAATGAGGATCCATTTCTACAAAAAATTTAAAAATTAGCTGGGCATGGTGATGCATGCCTGTGGTCCCAGTAACATGGGACACTGAGGCAAAAGGATCACTTGAGCTCAGGAAGTTGAGGCTACAGTGAGCCTTGATTGGGCCACTGAACTCTAGCCTGGGCAACAGAGAAAGACCCTGTCTCTAAAATAAAATACAATGCAACAACATATTTCAAGCATCTTTGAGTGCTTACAGACTTCATGTCAGTGCTTATAGACTTTATTTATTTATTTATTTGAGCTGGGGTCTCACTCTGTTGCCCAGGCTGGAGTGCAGTGGTGCGATCTTGGCTCACTGCAACCTCTACCTCCTGGGCTCAAGTGATCCCCTCCCTCAGCCTTCCAAATAGCTGGGACTGCAGGCACATGCCCCATACCCGGCTAATTTTTGTATTTTTTATAGGGCTGAGGTTTTGCCATGTTGCCCAGGCTGGGCTTGAACTCCTAGATTTAAGTGATCCACCCGCCTCAGCCACCCAAAGTCCTGGGATTACAGGTGCCAGCCATTGCAGGCCTGGCCTTCACTTATTTTTAATAGCTGCGGATTATCACATTGTATGGATGTGATACATCCATATGATATATACTGCTGACATCTAGTGAGGAGAGGCCAGGGATATAGCTAGTGCTGAGGCTGAGAAAACTTGCTCTGAGTTAATTGATGTAAAGTATGGTCTGTAGTAGTATTGTGGGACTGGAAATATAGCAGAACCTAAGACCTTTGTGGGGCATGATAGTAAGGAGATCTTTTTCTTGGATCTCTTGGAAATGATATGATTATGATACAGCTAGAATTACTCTGATGCCCACTTATACATAAATAGTTGGAAAAGATCATCCTTGGAGGATTCCCTCTGTTTTATGATCTTTGACATTCTAGAATCTCATGTATTCTTAGCTGTGGCTGTGATTGATCAATTAGTTTAATTGGTGCTACTATTTAAGCAGTTTATCAAGCTCTCTCGACATGGCCCTTCTTGACATGTGTCATGTTGTTACATGTTACTTTAACATAGTTTTGGGGCTGGGCATGGTGGCCCATGCCTGTAATCGCAGCACTTTGGGAGGCTGAGCTGGGCAGATCAGTTGAGGTCAGGTGATCAAGATCAGCCTGGCCAACACGGCGAAACCCCATCTCTACTAAATATACAAAAAACAGTTAGCCGGACATGGTGGAGTGTGCCTGAAATCCCAGCTACTTAGGATGCTGAGGCGGGAGAGTCGCATGAAACTGCGAGGTAGAGGTTGCAGTGAGCTGAGATAACACCATTACACTTCAGCCTGGGCAACAGAGCAGGACTTCGTCTCAAAAACACACACACACAAACAAGAAAAGCCCATAGTTTTGGGATAGAAGCTGTTTCCTGCCTTTGATGGTGGTTGTAGCCCAGTGGTGGTTAACTTCATGTTTTTTTTCTCCTTTGGTTTCCTCATAGTTCAAGCTTCACCTGTGGTCTGGCAGGGGCCCTGGCCTCAAACCCTGTTGATGTTGTGAGGACACGTATGATGAATCAGAGAGTCCTTCGAGATGGCAGATGCTCTGGCTACACAGGAACCCTGGACTGCTTGTTACAGGTAAGAGCAAGTGTCTGTCTATGCAGGGTTGTGAATTATCCTTTTTTTTTGATCTAAGAAGTAACTAAATTGTGAGAGCTACTAAAATTCGGATGAATAATGCTTTAAAGCCCTGACGTGTACATATGGGATACTATTTTGCCACACTGCGGTTAACTTATATAAATACAATGTTGTTTTCTTTATGCCTCTACTCTGCTGTGAAAGGTGAGAGGATAGTAATATTTACTGTGATTATAGAGGAACTGGATCTCCATCCAAAATATACCTTCCTCCTGTTGAGTCAAACTGGTATGAATATCCCTCATTCAGGTATCTCTCTTAGAGGAACACATCAATCTTACTTTCATTCCCAGTTTAATTAACTGGGCCTACTGTTTATGAGTAGGTGAAGGTTTTCAACTGTTTCCCCCATTAGACTGCCAGTAGTCAGAGATTAGGGGCCACTTTTTTTTAAGGTGTAGATGTTTTATTTATTTATTTTCAAGTTTTAATTTATTTTAGATTCAGGTAGTTGCAGTGGGTACATGGGCACATGTGTAGTGGTGGAGACTGGGCCTCTAATGTAACCGTTACCCAAATAGTGACGATTACCCCTGGTAGAAAATTTTCAGCTCTAGCCTCCCCCCTTGAGGAGTCCCCAGTGTCTGTTATCTCCATCTTTATGTCTGTGTGTACTCATTGTTTAGTTCCAACTTAAAAGCAAGAACATGTGGGTTTTGATTTTCTGTTTCCGCGTTAGTTTGCTCAGGATAATGGCCTCCATCTCCATCCGTGTTGCTGCAGAGAACATGATTTCTTTTTTATGGCCACGGGAGCCACTTCTGTGGTTCCTGTTTTCTGGCATGACACTAGCACATTTTACCCTTCAGGTGTTGCCTTAATGAAGCACAGACACTTACCTATTCATCCACGGAACAACTTAGGAAATAGTGGTGCTCCTAATGATACCTGGACGATCGCGTCTTTATTTCTCACCTGTTCAGGAGCCCGCATGGCATGGAAGCAAAATACCCTAATTGGAATTAAGTCTGATTTCTTTCTCATTCAACACTGTTTACCTGCTTTGTGTGGAGTTCATTTAGTCCTTTGTGCGGGGTTGTTGGGCATGGAGCCTTAGTCCTCTGCCCACGTGGAAGCCTCTGAGGAAGAGAGAGAGAGAAAGAAAGATTTCTTAGGTGGGCCTTCTCAACAGGATTTTTACTTTTAAGAAAATAAATCAGTCTGACCACTAATTAGTAATGCATTTAGCATAATTCAGAAGTTGGAAGTTAACTTTTTTTCTTCTTTTAACAGACATGGAAGAATGAAGGGTTTTTTGCTCTCTATAAAGGCTTTTGGCCAAATTGGTTGAGGCTTGGTCCTTGGAATATCATTGTATCCTTTCTGTGGGGCCAGTGGTTCCCTCCCGCTGGTGTTGATCCAAACTTCCGCCCAGGTCCAGCCAACAACTCACGGCGCCAGGCGGTAGCCGACGCTCAGATTTGCACTGATAACCCACGGAGCCCCTCAGTCTGGCAGGGCTCTCGTGGACCATGGGTTGCAGGAGGGATGAGATAAGCACAGGATTGGAATTGGAGCACCGAGGGGGTGAAGTCCCTGACCCTGTGAGCCGGCTGCACGTTCCAGGTGGGGACGTGCCCCACTCTGTCTTGGTTCGCCCTCCCTGGGTGGCTCTCGCCCTGCTTCGGCTCCTTCCCTGGGCCATTTTCAGAGTCCTCCCAGTCCCACTGAAATGAACCGGCACCTCACTTGGAATCGTGAAGTCCTCAGTGCTCTGTGTCTCGTTCTCTGGTAGCTGCGTTCCGGTGTTGCCTCGTCTTGGCCATCTTGGTGCTCCTCCAACTTACTTGTTTTTGAGATCCAGTCTTTGTTGCCCAGGCTGGAGAGTAGAGGTGTGAACTCAGGTCACTGCCACCTTCACCTCCTGGGTTCTAGCAATTCTCCTGCCTCAGCCTCCCAAGTGGCTGGGATTACAGGCATGTGTGACCATGCCTGGCTCATTTTTGTATTTTCAGTAGATACGGCATTTCACCATGTTGGCCAGGCTGGTTTCGAACTCCTGACCTCAAGTGATCCGCCCCTCGACCTCTCAAAATGCTGGGATTACTGGTGTGAGGCAGTTAATTAGGCATGGAAGGGCAGAATGATGAAGCAGGAATGCTGGCTTTCTTCTAGTTGCTCTTTATCAGCTCCTGCCTCCCAAGGAAGGCTGCGCAGTGGAAGCCTTTGAGGAGAGCCTCCCAGGGCTTGCTCACTGTACCCCCACCCCCCAGAAGCTTACTGTGCTGGAAGGTCTTCTCCACCACAGAAAAGCCACAAGAGCTAGTCGGCGTGGATGCCATCTCAGAAGAGGCTGATGCCAGGGGGTTTACATATCCCAGCTGTGATCTTTCTGTTCCAAGCTGACCTTGGAAGGGCTTGTGGGCAGATAGTTTGAGGTGGTTCAGGATGGAACCCCTTTTATGTAATCGTGTCCATAGCGTGGGTCTGCCTGTACCTATTTGTTAGTAAGTGTGCCATTTGTAAATCTGTTGTTATGCTCTGGAGTTGTGAAGATGGCATTTTCTGTGTCAACCTTAACGCATAACTACAGTTCTTTGTGACATATGAGCAGTTGAAGAAATTGGATTCATGACGTCAAGGCTGCACGACACATCTTTCTGAAAATGCTACCTTCTGAAACAGCAAAGCTTCCTGCGTTTCACTCTGCTTCTCACTGCTTGGCTCGTCACAGATTCTGGGATGTGAGCAGCAGGTGAGACTGAGATGGTTGAGATTGCTGTGAAGGCATTGGACGCTCTTCATCAAACGTTCAGTGGCGTAAACTAACATTAAACACTAGTCTTTACCACTGAAGCGCCCTTCAGCGTCAACTATCATATATGAAATGCGTGCTTCTTGCTAAAGAAAACCTGCACGAAAATCGGGAGCTGCGCATTGTTTTCTTCAGGGAGGGTCGCTCCTGACGCATCTCGGCTCATGACTGAGAACATGAGACTGCTCTAGAGAAGCTCACTGGAACCGTGGGATGGAGGCTCCAAGAAGGTCTGTGGCTTCTGAATTTCTGGGAGCTTTTGTTTCTTGTCAACGGAAGAAATTTCATGTGTGGAGACCTGGAATGTTCAACCCCAGGTATAAACAGTGCCGGAAATGGAGCCGAGGAATATCTCACTACTTAATTTCCTTTTTTGGCAGGATCTTCCACTTATAATAAGTGATTTTAAGCCTTTGGAGACATGACATTTGTGAGAAATTGTTACAAAGTAGTAATCTCTAGATTTGTGGTGGTATGTGTTGGCTTTGAAGGTTGCAGGGTCTATGTCGGTGGGAGGTGTTTTCAGGCAGCTTGGGTTCTGTCTTAGGTCATGTTAGTAATTCGCTTTATGATTTTTAGCAAAGTATATGTATTTTCCAATGTGTAAAAGGGGGACAATCACATGTATTGATGTAGATTGTCAAATGAAGAACAAATAGTAGCTGCTGCTACTTGACTTGAAAGGTAAGTGTGTTTACGTTGTGCTGTGGAACAGCTGTAAACAGTCTATGTCATAGGGGTCATGCTGTCATGGGCTTCTCATGGTGATTGTGAGTGAAGCCCTTTTTACAGCCTTGTTAAAGAACACTGTGTAAGTTCACGCTACAGTTTCCTTAGCAAAATGTTGGTAGTGAATCAAAGAGTTGATTTTTCCAGCTTTCCAATTTTTACTTTAGTCTGTATTGGACTCTGGTTAGTTTGGATGGAAAATACCTGCTTGAAATTTTAAAAATGATTCTTCAGTGCATCTAACTTTAGCTAGTTTCTGATAGGTGGTAGTCATATTTTCCCTTTTTCTTTCCTTCTATAGACACAATAAATCATTCTCCCTCTTTTTTTCTTTTCTGTTTTCTTTCTCTTTTCTTTAACCTGCTTCAGAGAAAGCCTCTTCTTGTCTTCATCTTATTCTTTTCAAAATAAAAGGTGACTGTGAGAGCCCAGAGTACTTCTGCTTCTGGGAGGCAGCCGCAGGGCGGGGACCATACTTCCTGGGTCCCTTCGGTTCCTGCCTTGAGAACATTACAAACATCGTAGCCGCGGCTCCAGGGTATTCTCCTTCCACAGCAGTGCAGGCAAATTCCCGGTTTGGCTAGTCGCTTGGTTCAGACAGAATAGAAGGAATGCAGGGTTTTTTGGGAGGTTGGATAATTTTTCCTCCCACGCATTTTCCCCTTGCCTGCCTTATGGATGAATGGTCCCTTTGAATATTATCTCCAAAAGCGAGAGCTAAGACAGAGTCATTGGAAAGAGAGGATAAAAGAAGGGTGGTAGGGGGACCTGTTAACTGCTTAGACTCAGACGACTAAGGCCAGCTCTCCCTGGGCAGCCCTGGAGGGCAGCAGAGGACCCCAGAGCTCATTCAGGCCTTGTTCCTGGTTCTAAACTGCGCCTTAGAGATTTTTTTCTTCTCTCCAAAACATTCCATTGATTTGATAAAGACTTTCTATAGAGAGGCTTTCACTTTTAAGTTCTTTGAGTTTAAAGGATTGCTTTTCTTGAACCACGTTTTTTTAATGTAGAAAAATTTTATTTTTTCAAATATGCACACTTTTTAAAACAGTAGAAGCAAAGTCATTTTGAAGACCACGTAAAGTGTGAATGTCAGACAGTATTCATTGTTACCAGTTTATTCAAAGTACATACATGTTCATACCAAGAGGGAAAGACATTCAAACCTCATGGTAAAACTTAAGCACGATTTAGGGTACAAGCATAGTACTTCTCCAGTGTAGATTTATTAAGTGCCTTATTGAACAGAATCTTAATCTGCTTTTTCTGTTTTTGAAAGAGTTAATGCAATTGTTGAAGGTTCTAACCAAGAAACAACGTAAGGAATTGGGAGACTTGGTCCCCTTATTTTCAGGGGTCCGGCCACAAGTCCCTTCCTGCCTTGGGGTATTCTTAAATATGCCAAAAGGAGTTCTAGTTTTTATAACCAACGGGCTTTTTTTGTTTGTGTGCTTATGGATTTGTGTGATCATTGATGGTTAATGTTGTAGATTCATAATGTAAAAAATGGCTCCTGTCCTTTGTATTTATTCATGTGCTAGAAGTAATCTGCATTATATAAAGAGTGTGACGTTTTCATAAGCCTTTATATTTCAAGCTCTTTATTTAAACATTGTTGAAATACATGGCATAAGGCTTGTTTCATTTATTTAATAAACTGGAGTAATATATAACAATAAAAATGATTTCTGGTTATTTCAGATACATAGAAACATTCAAACAAAGGCAAACTTCATAGAGTCTGGAAGGCTGGAGTAGAAAGAGTTTGTGAAAGCAGCGGCAGGCGTTTCTCTGCATGGGGAAGTTGCTGGGATCAGCTTACTCACTGCCTGGCACCTGTGTGACCCCCACACTGTATGAAATACCTGGCAGGTCAGTTGAGGCCAGTGAACTTGATTTGAGGGCTGGCCTGGCATTTGAAATACCAGTGAACTTGATCTGAGGGCTGGCCTGCATTTGAAATACCAGTGAACTTGATTTGAGGGCTGGCCTGGCATTTGAAATACCAGTGAACTTGATCTGAGGGCTGGCCTGCATTTGAAATACCAGTGAACTTGATTTGAGGGCTGGCCTGGCATTTGAAATACCAGTGAACTTGATCTGAGGGCTGGCCTGCATTTGAAATACCAGTGAACTTGATTTGAGGGCTGGCCTGGCATTTGAAATACCAGTGAACTTGATCTGAGGGCTGGCCTGGCATTTGAAATACCAGTGAACTTGATTTGAGGGCTGGCCTGGCATTTGAAATACCAGTGAACTTGATCTGAGGGCTGGCCTGACATTTGAAATACCAGTGAACTTGATCTGAGGGCTGGCCTGGCATTTGAAATACCAGTGAACTTGATCTGAGGGCTGGCCTGCATTTGAAATACCAGTGAACTTGATTTGAGGGCTGGCCTGGCATTTGAAATACCAGTGAACTTGATCTGAGGGCTGGCCTGGCATTTGAAATACCAGTGAACTTGATTTGAAGGCTGGCCTGGCATTTGAAATACCAGTGAACTTGATCTGAGGGCTGGCCTGGCATTTGAAATACCAGTGAACTTGATCTGAGGGCTGGCCTGCATTTGAAATACCAGTGAACTTGATTTGAGGGCTGGCCTGGCATTTGAAATACTAGTGAACTTGATCTGAGGGCTGGCCTGGCATTTGAAATACCAGTGAACTTGATTTGAGGGCTGGCCTGGCATTTGAAATTCCAATGGGATGACATCAGTGTGGTGAACTGTCAGGCTCCCTCAGCCCTTCTTACCGTGTCGGGTGTTGCTAGAGGCAGATGCAGGGATCCTTGGTCAACTGTGGACCAGGCAGGGACACCTGGTTGGCAGAAAACAGCCAGTGAACTCAATGTGAAGTGGATCCATTAATCTTTTTACTTGAAAGTATTCTGTAGGGGCCTGTTTTAGCACTTGAATTAAACGTTGTAGTTTATTTATAAACGAACATTGGGGCCAGGGTGTGATGGCTCATGCCTGTAGTCCCAGCGCTTTGGGAGGCCAGAGAGGGTGGATAGCTTGAGTTCAGGAGTTCGAGACGAACCTGGCCAACATGGTGAAACCCCATCTCTACTAAAAATACAAAAATTAGCTGGGTATGCTCACATGTGCCTATAATCCCAGCTTCTCAGGAGGCTGAAGCAGGAGAATCTCTTAAACCCGGGAGGTGGAGGTTGTATTGAGCTGATATCGCTGCAATCCATCCTGGGAGACAGAGTGAGACCCCATTTCACAAAACATAAATAAATGCTAAAGCTGGGGAAAGGGGGGAGCTTTTTGTTTTTGTTTTAATTTTTTTTTTTTTTTTTTTTGATGGAGTTTCGCTCTTGTTACCCAGGCTGGAGTACAATGGCGTGATCTCGGCTCACCGCAACATCCGCCTCCTGGGTTCAGGCAATTCTCCTGCCTCAGCCTCCTGAGTAGCTGGGATTACAGGTACACGCCACTGTGCCCAGCTAATTTTTTGTATTTTTAGTAGAGACGGGGTTTCACCATGTTGACCAGGATGGTCTCGATCTCTTGACCTCGTGATCCACCCGCCTCGGCCTCCCAAAGTGCTGGGATTACAGGCTTGAGCCACCGCGCCCAGCCTTTTGTTTTAAATTTTATTTGTTAGAGTGGTTATAGCAGAATTAGTGGAAGGTGCAGAGATTCCCATATACCCCAGTCTCTTCCATCGTCAACGTTCTGCACCAGAGCAGTGCATTTATTACAACTGATGAACCTGTTTGATGCATCACTGTCACCCAGAGCCCATAGTTTACGGAAGGGCTCACTCTTGGTGTTGTACTTTCTGTGGATTTGGATGAATGTATAGCGATGCATGTCCACCATTATAATATCATATAGAACAGTTTCACGGCCCCAAAACGGGGAGATCTGGCCTCAATTTTCCTACCTAAGACTGAATGACATACCCATGTACGGTTGCCTCCATGTGAAGGGCAGTGAGAACAGCTGGCTGCCGGTGCGTCCCAAATGCCTGTGAACAGTGAAATCCTCACTTGGATGGTGGTACCTGATAGATACGATTGGCTTTAAATCCCGGATATTTA